GCAATATATTGTATACTTTATATCATAAAGGGGAACCCCACTCTGTAGTGGATGGAAAAATAACTGAATGCATCTTTTAACCTATAATTTAGGTTTTTATTAGACATAGGTGAAATTCTTTTTCGTACTTCCAGTGTTTTCCCGTTTGTTTTGGTGTATCTACATACTGTGAAAAAGAAGGTTGATATGTAAAATATTGTGATTTTGAATAAATTTTTAGAATATTTTATTTGTGTCACAGAATATGTGCTCTGTTTTTATAGTATAAATTATAAATTAGAGCAAGTTCAAAATTAATGCATTTTTAATTAAAATTAATAAAGAAGAAGTAAAGGCAAAATGATGGAATCTGAATTTAAGCTGCCTGAGTTTGTAATCTTAGTTCCAGCACTTATTAACTGTGATTTGGGGAATTTATGTAAAGTCATGTTATCTCCACAGTACTTCTTTTTTTCATTTTTAAAAAATGTATTATTTAATTAAATTGACAAGTAGTAATTGTAGATTTTTATGGAGTACAGTATTACATTTCAATGCATGTATACACTGTGTAAAAATCAAATCAGGATACCGCCATGTTTGTCATCTCAAACATTTATCTTTTTTGTGCGTGCTAGGAATATTCAAAACCCTCTCATCCAACTCCTTTGAAATATATAATAAATTGCTCTTATGTATAGTTATGCCACAGTGTCATGACACTCCAGATTTTTTTCTCATATCTAATAATTCTGTATCCTTTACCAAACTCTTTCAATCCCTCTTCATCCTCCCTTCTATGGCTTCTAATAACCACTATTCTGCCCTTTACTTGATGACATCAGCTTTTAAAAGTTCCATGTATGAGACATGACATGTAGTATTTGTCTCTCTGTACCTAGCTTATTTTACTTAACACAGTGTTTTCCAGACTTCCATGTCATTACAAAAGACAGAATTACATATATTCTGTGATTGAACAGTATTACATCATGTGTATCTGTGTGTATCATATTTTCTTTGTCCATTCATCTGCTGATGGACCTTTAGGTTGATTTCATATCTTGGCTATTGTGAATAATGCTCCAAGGAACACGAGAGTGCAGCTACCTCCTCAACATGATGACTTCCTTTCCTTTGGATACATGTAGATACCTCGGGTTGTGGGACTGCTGAATGTGTAGGTCCAGTAGTGGGATTGCTATATCATATGGCAGTTCTGTTCTGAGTTTTTTTGAAGAATCTTCATACTGTTTTTATATAGTTTATGCTAATGATAGCATATAATAATATAAAAATAATGTATGAGAATTCTCTTTTTCAAAAATCCTAAAGAACCGAGAAATGGAGAAGAGAATCTGGCATAATCATGCCCCATGCGGGATGTGTATTTCTTTACTACCCGCTATTTCTGTCTCTCTGGCTTTCTCTGGCAAGCTCACACAAACTCTGACATTTTTTTTTTTTGGATTAAGATTTAGTTTAATTTTTTAATGGACTCCATATGCTTATCTTGATGCTAGTGACCATTAATCCACTACTGTATGACATAAAAAGAAGCCTATGGAAGAAACAAACTGATAAGTTAGTCCCACAGAAAATTAACTGCATCATTTTTCAATGTACTGATAAATTGTAATTAATTGGGTTAGATAATATAATTGATGAACTTCCCTTTGTATACTCATTGGATTTTTTTTTTCTCTTTCTGACTCCTCATTGAAATTGTTTTGTAATTTTTTATTTATTTATTTTTTTATATACATTCAATGACATCGTTTAGCTTATGAAGTGAACATTTCAATATGTGAACATTTCTCCCCAATTTTTAAAAAGCAGAAAAGAGTTTCCTTTTCTCAGTATCCTCATCACCATTTCCTTTTGTCTTTTTCTTAATGTCCACTCTAACTTGTGTGAGTTGCAGTTTTGATTTGCATTTTCCTGGTTAGCAGTGCTGAACACTTTTTTTTCCGTATACTTGGCCATTCATACGTCTTCTTTTGGAAAACGTGTGTTCGGTTGATTTATCCATTTCAACTCAAAATGGGCTAAAGACATACATGTAAGTCCCCAAACTATGAGACTTACAAGAAAAAACATAGGAGAAATGCTTCCAAATACAAGTCTAGGAAAAAAATTTAAAAAGTAAGATTTAACTGGTAGTTTTATAGCTTGAGGCTTTACATTTAAATTTTTTATCCATTTTGAGTTGATTCTTGTTAGTGGCGAGAAATAGGGGTCCATTTTCATTTTTCTGCAGGTGGAGATCCAATTCTTCCATTAGCATTTGCTGAAACCAGATTTTATTTCACTGCATTATCTTGTATTTCCTGTCAAAATAAATAAGTGGTGCCAGCAGGTGGCAAGGTGTTCAAGGAATTAGATTCCCACCTAGTTTTTGGCATGCATGCCAAAATTCCTGAGGAGAATGGAGGAAAAGGGATTGAGATGTGGCCATCCCCCCTGGGGAATGATTTCTCATTTTTTCTCTCTCTGATGAATGCATGCACCATATGGCAAAACCAAAAATAAATAAATAAATAAGAACTCAAAAGCAGATAGAACAAAAGCAAAAACAGACAAATGGAACTCTATCAAAATAAAAAGCTGCTATGCGGTGGTGAAAGAAACAATAGGGTGATGAGGGAGTCAACAAATGGGAAAAATTATTTACAAACTGTTCATCTAACAAGAGATTAACATTCAGTATATACAAGATACTCAACACCAAAATAAAAACAGAAAACTTCAAATTATATAATTAAAAATACATTAATTTTCTTACCTTTAAAATGGAAGTAAAAGTATTGTTATATATGTTACTTATGTGATTGAGATAAATTATAAGTAACATTTTTCAAATACTATCTGGCATAAGTGGTATGTAATGAATGTCATTGTTATTTCAATAAATATATTTTTGAGCTATCAGTATCTGAGAGTAGTGTAAAATATTCATGTTGGTTTATATATTCCTCCATGAATTTTCACCAGTTATTACTTTTTTTACTTTGGAGTTATATTTTCAGATAAATATATAACCTAATTATAATTGTAAAATACTAAAAGTAGTCAATAGCACATTAGAAAAAGTAATATTTCAAGAAAATTAAAAGAAAAACATGAAAAATTAATAGCATTTCTCCATGTAGGTAATTTCCTAAAATTATTAAACAATGATATTATGTCATTCCAGTAACAGCAAATATAATAGAAAATCATGTTCCATCCATGCACTAAAACAGTTATCTAATGATTAATCTAGCAAGAAAGCAAGAAACCTCAACAGAGAAAATAATTAAAATTTATTAAATTAAAAGATTTAAAGAACTGAAGCTATATACTGTCTTTGCAAAGAGAGTAAATTAGCATATTAAAGATATTAATTCTAAACTAATCTATACATTCAAAATAATTCTAGTCAAAATAATAGATAAATTACTGTTTGGCCACCAATTTTACTGAATTATCACATGTATCCAGTAAAATCAAATAATTTAAAAACATAATTTGATGTAATTATGACAAATGTATTTGACCAGCACCTGATCAAGATACTGAAAACACTTATCACCGTGAGAAGTGCTTTCCTGAAGAGTAACAACCATAGCCCCTGATACCATTGGTCTTTCCATCATTACAGATTTGCCTCTTCTATGATTTCATGTTCCTTGAATTATAAAGTATGCCGTGGGACTATCTTGTGTAGTGTGTGTGTGTGCGTGTGTGTGTGTGTGTGTGCGCACACACATCTTTTTTTACTTAGGATAATGTTTTCCAGATTTATCCATGTTCTAGCATATATCAAGTTCATTCTTCTATTGCTATGATACTATTTATAGTTATGTCAGAAATTGCTTATCCATTTACTGGTTGATTAGCCTTAGATTTGCTGATAGTGCTTTGTCTATTATGAAGAAACTGCTATGAACATCCACATCAAGACCTTTGGGGGAATATATGCTTTAATTTCTCATGAGAAACTACCTAGGAGTGAGATTGCTATGCTTATGTATTTAATTTTATAAGAAACTGCCAGAATATATTCTAAAGCATCTGTATGATTTGTCATTCTTACCAGTAAAACATTCACTTAGTCCTGTCCTTGCTAAAAATTGGTATGGCCACACTTTTTAACTCTTTAAAATGTTTTTATTATTTTATTGTTGTTTGTTTTATGTTATACATTTAATCACTGTATATCATTAGAGCTTGTAAAAAAATTTTCCAGCATGAATATACTGTGTATTAGTCCAATTAAAGCTATTATCACACTTATTATCAACAGATAATTTTCCATGTTTGTGTCCCTTAAGTGGTTTCTTTCTTTTTCCCGTTAATTCCTTCTTCTCCCCCTCTCTCATTTTTCATCGTTCTCCCTGCTAAACGAAGCAAGCCAGACTATGAAAGAGAGACATTGTATGCCTATATATCAAACTTTTTAAATTTTAATCATTCTCAAATATGTGTAGTGATGTCTCATTTGGTTTAATTTGAATTTCACTAATGATTAATGATGTTAAACATATTTTCACATACCTATTTATCATTCATTTATTTAATTTCTTTGCTGAATTATATGTTCTCATCTTTTCCTAGTTTGTATTAGGGTATGTTAAAATTACTATTGAGTTATAAGCAGTCTTTATGCGTCTATATCCAAATAATTTATCAGATTTGTCGTAAGAATATTTCCTTTCATTAGATTACTTGGCTTTTTATTTTCTTACAAAGCCTATTGAAGAGCACTATATTTTAATTATGATGAAGTCTCATTCATCATTTACCATGTTTTGTGGTTCATGATTTTTGTGTACAATCTAAGAAATACTCATTAAACTCAAGGCACAAGATTGTTTTTTGTTTTTTGTTTTCTGTTTTTTTTTCCCTCTAGAAGCTTAACATGTTTAGTTTCTACAGTTTGAACTTAGTATGATAAATAGTGTAAATTAATCTTTATATTCAATTTTTCCTGATGTGGCTATTCAACTCTTCCAACACCTTTTCTTTTTTTTCTTAAGACTGTCCTTATCCCACTGAATTTTCTTGTTACCCTTATCGAAACTGAATAGACCATACAAAAGGTAGGTTTTTCTGATTTCTCTCTTTTGTGCTACTGATCTAAATGCTTATCTTTAGGTAAAACCACACTATTATCTTTGTTCTAGCTTGAATGTAAATCACAAGTAAGTCAACGTATGTTATTCAGTTTTGTGCACTTTTCTTTTTTTTTTTTTTTCCTGGACTCTTCAGATTTCCTTGTCAGTTTTGAATTGGGTTATTTATTTCTTCAAAAACCTCCTGCTCGTTTGTTCTTGTTGTTCTTTTTTGTTTTTTTTAAGAGTTTTGGTGTTCAGCAGTTAGTGTAAAGGCTATGTCGCTATAACCCCATGTTGTCAACAGCAGTGGCTTAAACTCATGCAGGGTGCGTGTGTGAGCATGCCTAAGATCCGAGAGAGGAGAATGGAGAAGAGGGGATTGCAGTGTGGCCATCCCCCCGAGGGGTGGGGGTGACTTCTTCCTTTCTGTCTCTCTGTCTCGCTCTGTCTTTCAGGCTAGTGCATGCGCCCTATAGCAAAAACCTCTCCAAAAAAAAAAAAAAAGTTATTTTTTTGTCCTTAAGTCGTGTATGTTTGCCAGAGAGAGAAAGAGACAGTGAGATGGAAAGTGAGAAATAACCCCGTAGGGTATGGCTGTGCCACAGTCCCTTCTCTTTCATCCTCCTCCTGGGATCTTGGGCACATGTAAACCTGTCCACTACCATCCAGGACTCAAACCACAGGTCGGTCATGTGGCAGTCCAGTTATGTAACTGCTACACCAGCTGCTGCCCCCTTCACTAAGATTTAAATTGAAATAAAATGTTTGCAATGCTTGTATGTAGTTTTTTGAAAAATATAAATAGTTTTATAGAAGAAAATAACAGCATTCAAATTTGCTTAGCCTGGTAAAATATAAATGATTAATTGGACAGTAATATGAAAAAGGCCTTGGTCAATTGTTTTTGGTATGTAAATTATTTTACCCATTAAAAATATACTAACTCAGCAATAATTATCCTTCAATATGAAAAGTAAAATACTGTCTAACTCCATTTCTATATATATCTAACTTTTCATCATTAAAATGTCTTCTTCACTAGACTACAGGTGAAAATTAAAATGTTAGTACAAATTAACAAGATTCGCTATAATAAGCAGAACATAGACCCTTTTTAATGTTCTTAATATTCATTACTGTGACATCAACACATTTTATTTATATTTTATTATTTTTATTATAAACACAATTAGCACTCTTATTCTTCCTAGATGCACTGCTTAATGAGGTTGATCATGCAGGTCTCAAGAGAGAACAAAATATAGTCTGCATGACTAAAAAGAAAAGCTTTCTTAATGGTGTGTCTCTGTTAACAGACCTAACACACACTGAACTCTTATAAACATATTTAAACTCTTTAACATATAACATATGAGTTTAACAATAAAAGTTGTAAAAACTAATATAACTTTTATTTTTTAGACTTAAGTAAACCTGTCACATTTTTTGTTTACATTTACCAATACACAAACTTAGCTTGTAGTCACGGGACATTTACACCTTTATTGACTGTAATGACAACAGAAAATCATGTAGAGTTGAACTTCAGAAAAAATAAAATATATGTGTAACTATTTGTCCTCCAGGGAGCAAGGACTCTGTTATTTCAGAGTCCTTGCTGGAATTATTCCCACTAAATGAGCTGTCACATATAAGACCCTAATTCCAGGTACCAGAATAAGTATTAGGATAGTTCTGCCTGCAGAGAGTTTCAGTATGTCTCAAAGCAGTTCTGAGAATTGAAAAGAAAACATCATGTCTATCAAATGAGGCTTTGCAGAGGAGACATGAATTCAGGTTTGTTTCTTTTCTTTTTCTTTTGACTTGCTCTTTCCTACTATGTGGGACTCCTTTCATATAACCTGCAGATGGGCTTCTGCCATTTAAATCAGTGAGAGGATCCAATGTCACTGTCATGTCTTCATAGTTTAGCAAATGTGGAGGGTTTATTTTTTCCTTTTCTATGTTTCTTAAAATAAATATTAGAAATTATATCTCATCAACACTGTCTATATTATATGATCAATTCTTAACAGACACTGATAGAGGGGAAAAGAAATCATAATTGGCCTGATCTGAATCATTGTTCCTTTAACCTGAAGGTCTGGACTTTTGGAGAGCCTCACCTGAGTCATTTAACATGTGAGAAATGATTTCCTACAGGGAGAAACTCAAAGTATGTGTGGTTGGGAAGAAGAACATTCTCTTTTTTTCTTGCTGTTTCTGCCAGTGGCATGACTGCAGTGATAGCATATGGAAGCTAGTAGCACTTACCATCTGACAAATTTTGCATTGTTCACTATGAGTTTCTAACCTAAATAAATATCCAACATTTTCTTAAAATAGCAATTGCCCAGAATTGAAGTTATGCTATCAAGAAAGTTTACCAAAGAGAAGTCTAGGGGATTACTGTGGTGATTTTACATGTATAACATACCTTAAAATCATGCATGGGTAAGGCCTCCAAAAACTTAAATTCCTTGATACAATGGAAACAACCTTCTATTACTTTTTTTATAAGGTTTTTGCCATAGGGTGCATATGCTCACTGGAGAGCCACAGAGAGAAAGAGAGAGAGAGAGAAACTGAGAGGAAAGTGATAAATTACCCACCCCAAAATTGGCCATGCCACCATTCCTTTCTCATTCTCCTCCTGGGATTTTGGCACACAGACACATGTACCGGGTATGATTTTCAAGCTGCTAGGTCGAGGACTTGGACTGTGGTCAGCCATGTGGACAGCCGCATTAACCACCACATTACCTACTGCGCCCTACAACAATTACTAGAAAGAGGGAATCTAAGAAGAACTTACAAATTAATAGTATTTTTCAATTAAAAATACCCACAAATCAAAATGAAAACATGGATTGATTTAACTAAAACAATGTAAGAACTTTAAAAGCAAAAGAATATATAAATGCAGTCATATGTCATGTCCTTAGAGTGGTTAAAAAATATTAACATTGGCCATTGTAAAGATGTCATTCTCTCCAATTAACATGTAAATTTAAATTAATTCAAACCAAAGTATAAAATTGCATAAAAGATTCTAAAATTTACATGGGAAAACAGATGTGTACAATGAGCTAAAAAAGTTAAGAGAACAAATATGAAAGAAACTAAGGAAAATATACTGTAAGAAATAATAAATTATCTGAAAGCATTACAATTAAAAGAAATATGGAACTGGAATAGACAAACAGGCCAAGTGGAGTCCAGAAATCTGTATTAATTTACATAGAGTTATCATAAAAATAATATGTTATTTTTGAAAAGGTGATTGTGTTTAAAAAAGTAAAGTTTTATCATTCATTAATTCACATCACATATGAAAATTGGTCCCGGGTGGATTAAATATCTAGATATAACAAACAAAATTACAAAGCCAAAAATATAAAGCTAAAGAAGATTTTATAGAGAAGAATTTTTTATACAAGATAATTCCAAAAATCCCACCAACTGGGAGACAAAATTTTGATGATGAATTTGACTATAAAATATAATGATAAATGAATTTAGCAACTATAATATGGTCTAAATATCTCAATATCTTAGAGGTCAGCAGATGATATAATAATTATGTTGCTGGACTTTCATATGGCCGACTGGGGTTGGAGTCCTGGACCTGATGGCTTGAAAATCACACCAGAACAGGCCTTCATGTGCACATACATGCCAAGATCCCAGGAGGAGAAAGTAAGAGAAGGGTTATGGCATTCCCATGCCCCGTGGAGGGTAATTTCTCACCTTCCCTCTCACTGTATCTGTCTCTCTCTCCACTGAGTGTACACACTCTACAGTAAAAACCTCTTAAAAAACAAAACTCAATATCTAATATAGATTCACCAATAATTATCACAAAAAAATAAGTGAAAACTTAAAAACAGAACTGAGAATGCAAAAACTTTAAAAATACAAAAATTCTTATTTCTAACAAGTTGACATATGCATTGAAAGTAATATTAATTCCAAATAGAATTTGATATTTTTTTTATTTGCCAGAGGGCATGTGCTCACCAGAATGAGAAAGAGATACAGAGAAAGAGCGAGACAGAGAACTTTCCCATGGTCTTTCCTCATGAAGAGTGGTCGTATGCAATTCCTTCTCCTGTTTCTCTGTCTCCTTTTGGGATTTTGGGCATTCACACACATGTACTGGAGCCCTCAAGCCGCACAGTCAGCAATGTGGAATACAACTCTCTGAACTATCTGAACATGGTCTGGCTCGATAGATATTTTAAAATAACTAGAAATTCCTTGTTATTTTTTGAACCACATTATCTGTTTTATATACATTATGTTTTCCCTGTGTCAGAGAATTGAGCATAAAAGATAAGTTCAATGATTTTTATGAGATTTTATTTATGATACTACCAGTCAAACCTACTAACATGTAAAATGTTTCTTTAAAATAACTATTCATTTCCACTTAAGTTAAAATAACCTAAAGAAAGGACCCAGCAGGTGGCATGATGGCCAAGGCAGCTAGAGTCCCACATAGCCAACTATGGCTCGAGTTCTGGACCTGGCAGCTTGAAATTCACATTGGGTGTGTATGCATGTATGCCCAAAATCCCAAGAGGAGAATGGAGGAGAACGGACTGTGGTGTGGTCATCCTT